TTACAGATGAAATGGCAGTAATCATATGAAAAAGTATGCGTAAGAATCATTTAAAGGGGGCCCGACGCGATGGTGCAGTGGTTAAGGTCCTCGCCTTGCACACCCAGGATCCCATATGGATGCCAGTTCTAATCCCGGCAGCCCCGCTTCCCATTCAGCTCCCTGCCCGTGGCCCGGGAAAGAAGTCAAGGACGGCCCAGAGCTTTGGGATCCTGCAACTGTGTGGGACACCCAGAAGAGGCTCTTGGCTTCGGACCGGCATAGCATCAGCTGTTGCGCTCACTTGGGGAGTGAATCATCGGACGGAAGATCTTCCTCTCTGTCTCTCCTCTCTGTATATCTGCCTTTCCAATAAAAATAAAATCTTAAAAAAAATTAGAATCATTTAAAGGGCCTGGCAGCATGGTCTAGCAGCTAAAGTCCTCGCCTTGAAAGCGCGGGAGCCCATGTGGACGCTGGTTCTAACCCCAGAAGCTCCACTTCCCATCCAGCTCCCTGCTTGTGGCCTGGAAAAGCAGTAGAGGAGAGCCCAAAATCTTGGGACACTGCACCTGTGTGGGAGACCTAGAAGAAGCTCCTGGCTCCTGGCTTCGGCTCGGCATAGCATCGGCCATTGTGCTCACTTGGGGAGTAAATCATCGGATGGAAGATCTTCCTCTCTGCCTCTCCTCCTCTCTGTCTCTCCTCCTCTCTGTATACCTGACTTTCCAATAAAAATAACACAAATCTCTCCAAAAAAAGAATAATTTAAAGAATAAAAATCAAAACAACATAATTTTTTCACCTATAAATTGGTCAAGAAGTTTTAAGACTTAAAATCGTGTAGATTAGGGGTGTTAGGAAATAGTCATATATTCTTACAAGAGTGTAAACCTGCAACTTCACAAATGGGTACTTGGTGTTGGAGATGAGGTACTTTAATGTTAAAGCAGAGTTGGCAAATTTGAAACTGTTGCATAGTTTCCATGTCTTTCTGGCCATAGACCAATGACAGGAAGTGTAGGTGGCATATGCCCTTCTTTTTGATGGATTCATACAATGCCCTGTGATTTGCCAATAGCATTCAAGTACTCTAACTCCAAACTGCAACAGTGACGTTTAGGTTATTTTCCTCTCCTAAGTTGAGGATGTTTTAAAGAATTCAAAGTATAGATTAAAAGAATTTTATTTTGGTGCGAAAACATTTCTTAAGTCCATACTTACTCTTCATAATAGACCTTTCTCATGAATTTTTGATTACATGTGTACAACCATATATCCTTATCCTATTAAGCTCAAGAAGGATTATGTAACATGTATTAGCTGACAAAATGAAGAAGTGATGTGTATCACATTAGAGCCAAGTTTTTAATAGCTAGTTGGTAGCTTGCCATGCCTATTTCTCTCTTGCCAGAAAACCAGCTGTGTGCTTGACACAGGCTGCTTGATATGGCTGGGTCATGGTGTGAAAACAATGTGGGCTAGAAATAGTAATTGGATGGTAATGTAGTGTGAGTGAAAAATACATCTTTCTTTGATAAGGAGTCTAAGATTTTTTTTTCTCATGGTTTATCCCAAAAAATTCTAACAGGATTATTAAAAAGATTTATATCTTGCCAATTACTGGTTGGGTTCAAATCCAGGTCTGCCTGAATTATAGAACCTTAGCATTCATTTCTATAAAATGAGATTACTAATGATATCTAGCTCGGGGTCATAATGAGGTTTAAATGACATAAAACACTAAATGAGGTCGTATTTTTAGGGGCTTAGAATAGTGCAAGCACATTTAAGTACTGTGCTAGTGTTTGATCTGTGAGTATGTACATGTTCAGAACAAAGTCTAGGAGGGCATACAACAAAGTGTTACTATACTGCGAATTAATTTTTCTTTTTGCTTAGCCATATATTCTAGTTATTCTAAAACAACTGTTTTCAAAGTAAAGATGCTATTCAAAAATACCAAGTCACTTTGCAAAGTTTTTTTAAAATTATAATTTAAATATGCATATCTTTATTATGATCATATCACAGATTTTTCTCTTGCGACTTTCACTTCAGTATGTGAAGCTCTATTAATAACAATTTACTTTAACCATAGAATAGGCAACACCTGTAGCCAAAATATTTAAATGAGACCTAATGTGCAATTACATATAATTTTGCATTTGTGCCCTGAAATTTAAAAAAATTTCTAATGACTGAAATTTGTCAACCCAAATAATGCAAAGCAGCTCAACCATTAATAAGTCTTCCAGTGTCTCTGAGTCAGGCATCAAAGCCAAAGAAAAATGAGCTCTGATTCCTAATATTAATGTTAATATCACCTTAGGAGAGATAGACAAAGATGGGGTGAGACTAGGTCAATGGTGAGATTATTGTCATTGCAGCAATCTTCCTGTTGCCTGTATCCAGCCACCTTTGTTTACTCTGGCTGGAAAGCATCCTTGGTAATGAGTTGCACAGTAAAATCATCCTCAAAGTCAGTCACAATACCCATATCTATAACTAGCCACAGCCATCACAGCTGGGGAATCTCATGCAGAGAACAAGGCAGGGAAAACAGTGGGGTCACTTACTTTTTTTGTTCACCATATTCATCTGATAGGCGGTGGCGGTGTCTTCTTTTTCTCTGGTTGGGAAAGGACATCTTGAGCTTCCTGGATAGGACCGGATGGAGAACATGCGCTGTAACTGCAGAGAAGCTGGCAAAGCTTCTCTAAGGAGGTCAAACTTCCAGTGCAGAAGATGACTGAACTATGGTGGGAATGGTAATGGGGAATTATCCCGGGGACTGGGAATAGGATGTAAAATAGCTCACAGTTAACAGAATCAAAACATGAAATAATGATAAACAAAGCACCCGCACTGAAAATTTCAAGAGTGTATTTTGGGGAAATTAAAGGATATCAAAATACATAGAAAAATATATTTATAGATCATACGATTCAATAATGTTGGGAAGTTCTTTCTCTCCAATTAAATTTAAAGAGATCAGGCAATACTAAAAATCCCATCAGACTATTTTTGCCATATTAAAAAAAAATCTGTCTTTATTATGTAGACAGAAAAAGACACACAGGAGTTAGGAACTTCATCTTGGTCTACCAGCAATGGAGTAGGCCAAGGACTTGAGCCATCATCTGTTGCCTCCCAGGAGCATCAGGAAGAAGCTGGGTTAGAAGTGGAGAAGCTGAGACTTGAACTGAACTCTGCTATGCATACGGGCCTCCCAAGCAGTGATTTAACTTGCTGCGCATCACAATACCTGATCCTATATTTTGGCAAAATTTAAAAAAGAAATACACAGAATTTTATATATTGAAATGTAATTTATCAAGAATAGCAAAAACAATGAAGAGCGTGAAACAAGGAATTGGAAGACAAACTACCTGACTTTGTGAATTTCACACCACCTAACATATGGAATCAATCCAGATGTCCATCAACTGATGACTGGATAAAGAAACTGTGGTATATATGCATGATGGAATACTATCTAGTCAAACAAAACGAAATCTTGTCTTTCACAAAACATGAATGCTTAGTGAAATAAGCCAGTTATGATGTCTCACTTTACATCCAATCTCTCAAAGATATATCTCTCATTTTTTTTTTCTGATTAGTGGTAACTAATACTCAGAGTATAAAACAATGTATATAAGCAAAACTGACATTGTGAGATTTGATAATTATTTACAGCCCTTGTCTATACTCTTGAGGATCAGTAGTCTTGCTACTTGTCACTTGTTGAGTTCTTCATTTAGAGGAGGATTAAGTTTGTGATTATAAAGAAGACTGAAAACTGAAAGGCTGGCATTGTAAAAATTAAAATAAAATTGAGAAGGGAGTAGGAGAGTAAAGGAGCACGAAGAAGGGCAAGATGAAAACGATTATGTCCTTAAAACTATATATATATGAAATACATGAAACTTGTTCCCTTCATATAAATAACAACAGTTTAAAAAGCTATGGAAATCAAGACAAATAGGTTAGTGAACACAAGAGAAAATACAGAAATGGAACCGTATGAACATCAACTAATTTTCAATGGAGATACTGAGGGACAGCAAGAGGAGGGATGTCTTGAAATGGCATTCCAATGACCACATATTCCTCAAAATCTACCTGCTTCTATTTGTGAATAATGATTTGAGATGATGACATACCATAATGAGCCTGGACCATATTTCTGCATTAAAACACAAGATAAGCATTCATAAATTTCAGGTAGATAAAGATTTATTAAACAGTGCACAAAAACTATTAACCACGAGAGTAAAAAGATAAATTAAACTTCAGCAAAAATAAAGTATTCTTTAAGAGAAATAGTAGGTAAGTCACTGTCTGGAAAACATCTGACAACATCTGATGGAAACAGTCCATATTTTTATTTTGGTGGTACATGCTTGGGCATATACAATCATATAACCTGATCCATAGAATAATGATATTTGCCAGACAGAAGTCTGTACGTATGAAAATCTCATAAAAGGCATTTAAGGGTTAATACAACTACCATAAAAGAAACTTCAAAGTGTAAAAAAAAATAACACTTAAAATTATTTTATTGTATGTAAATTATACCTCAATTATAAAAACAAGTCCAGAATAAAAGATCACAATATCCATGGGCATAAATAATTAAAATACTCATTAAAACTCCCCCTCCCACTTCCAGCTCATATGGAAAGAGTAAATGACTCCTATATTTCAGTTCACAGGGATGACTATCTGGAACTGTTTCTTCTTATGATATGTACCATACAGGAGTTGAAGACATTAAAACCAATGAACTAAATCTTAAGTGAGAGAAACAGCAGCGTGTGAGAAAGGACATGCTATGTGTCTTCTGGTGGGAAAAGCAGATTTTCAGCAGAAAGAAGTCTTCAAATAAACTTCCACATACTGTAATTGTGACATGCCCCACTTGCATTCAATAGTTTTTAACAAAAAATAAGTAAAGGATATTACTGACATTTGAATTATTATATGACATAAGAACTAATTCTCCAATCTTGTCTTCTAGATGACTTATTTTCACAGGCAAAGCATTGTGTTTCTTGCAACTCATATTTGTATTCACAGAAGAATCTAAGCCGGAGTCTTGTAAATAATGTATCTTCAATAATTATGCATAAACGTGAATTAATTAATCAATGTCTTCTCTGTTTAGTTAGGATTTATGTTTAAATTCCATGCTCCCATAATTGGAAATTAATTGTAATTATTCTATAATCTCTTCACAAAACATGTTTTTTGACCCAGCCATAATGGTATCATTTGGTAAATTGTTAGGAATATCTTTAGAAGGACTATATTAAATGGCATACAAAGTTTAGTTAACCTCAATTTTAAAATAATCATATGATAATTATTTGAACAGATTTATAAAAAAGTTACAAAAGGTACAGCTGGTAAAAATATAAAAACAAACAATGCCCCACGCACTGAGTCTAAAGTTTCTACGTGACTATCTAAATGATTATAAAAGAAGAGCTGCAAATGTGTTGTTTTGACATTGGTAAGATCAGAGAAACTTGTAAACTGAGCAGGACATTGCTGTTCCAGTGATGGGACCTCCCCTGGGGAGGAGTGTTCTGTTGACAGCAGAGACTTCCAGGGGATTCCCACCGTGTAAACCAGCTGTGCTTTACTCACACATTCTAACAGCATTTGTGATGCTTTGCAGGCAGTCTTTCTTCCCAAATTTTCCTGTTGCTTTCCTTCCTGAATGTAGTAGGCTGACATTGTTTCCTAGCTGTGCCAAGAACCTCATGAATGCCACTGGGCTTCACTGTGAAGACTGATGGCAACACATCAAATGTGCGTGTCTCATGCTACATGGGGACTCCAACGATCATGTTATTTTTGGGAGAGCAGCTCTCTGGCTCCATGGAGATCACTTGAACGGAATAGCCATGTTCTTCTGCAGCTCTTGCTCGATCCAGATCCACCAGGCACATGCACTGTTTTCCTGAAATACAGTCAGAAGGCATTATGTGTACCTACCTGCAAAGCAGTGCACTTTCAGTCTGTTCAAGGGAATCTATAGGTATTAAAATCCACAAGCATCATGGAGAATATCACTAATCCCAAGTCTTGTTTAGTCTTTTTCGATTTGATTCTTGATTTGTGTTGAGAGAAAGTTTGTCTCTGCTGAGTTTCAAGAATGTTAACTTCAAATGTGTTTACAAACTCTGTTTAAAATGATAGATTAACCCTTTCTTGGTTAACAATCCATTCAACAACCTTCCCACATAAAACTGCATTATTTAATTTTCTGAAAAACAAAAAGTCAGCCTTTCATGGATGTGCATTTAGCTTGGTGGTAAAGATGTCTGCATTTCATGTCAGGGTATTTGAGTTTGATTTATGGCTCCAGGTCCTGACTTGAGCTTCTTGCTAACGCAGCCCCTGGAAACAGCAGCTGATGCTCAAGTAACTGATTTCCTATAGCTGACCCACACAAGAGACCTGGGATTAACCAGGTCCTTGCTTTGACTTAGCTCTGTCCCAGGCACTGTGGCCAATCAGAGTGTGAACCATTTTGGATGGGCTCTCTCTCTGTTTCTCTCTCTCTTTCAAATAAGTAAATTTTTAAAAGAAATGAAAATCTGCAAGAATGTCTAAAGTGGCATTTTTACAAACAACCACATTTTCTACCTAGATTTTTCAGGATTGTAAGAAATGAGAAATGGAGAGCATTTCAGAAAATTCTCAATTGTGTACTGATATCTTCACGTGGACCTGTAACATGAAGAAGAACATCCTGCTAATTTTCAGAGCTGCTGCACCCGTGTAAAAGAGTGATATTCTGTTCCTTTGCAATCTTTGGAAAACAAGTAGAAGCCTGACTGGCAAGCAAAGCAGCTAATTTGTTTTTCTTTAGCAGACACAAACTCCAAACTTAAGAAGTAGCCTGAGAAAAATGATTTGGGACTGAATATATTTGGAGCTATAGTTTACTAATACACTTTTCCCTACATTCAATATAAAAGTTTCTGCATTCTCTTGGAAAAAAAAAACTGACTGCAGATCATCTTGTTTCACTCTACTGTTCTTCAATAATTATAATAATGCCTCAATTGTATGTTAAAATAATTTATTGGAATGACAGTAGAAATTAGCAAGCTAAAATCGCTTCAGATCTGAAGACCAAGTTCAGAATAGAAAAGTTCTCTGTGAAAGACAGACTCCTCACAGGAAAAAAAAACAAACCAAAAAACCCCCAAAAAACCAAAACCAAACAAACAAAAAGACAGGGGAAAGGTAAAAAAGCACAAGGTGAGAACTGGCAACGGGAGCCTTGGATTTAAAATGCTTATGTTGTACATTTTCCTTAAGAGGCCCATGCTATCAAGGATGAACTCTGTTAGAAATGACTTTATAAAGAGATGTCTAGGATTCCATCTAGACGAAATCACCCCCACGTCACCAACAGTCCAATGGCTGACATTCCTTCTTGCCTGAAATATCATCTTTCACATGTGTAAATGTTTCCCGCATCTACTTTTCAGTTTGAAATGAAACATTCTCTGTCAGAATGGGATGCTCTGCATTCCTTAAGTACCCACCCTGGGCTTACATGGCAGTGCATTTACCCTTGGCTTTCATCCCACTCCAGTAAACTTTTCTGTTTTCATTATGTAGAATAATCTTGTGTTTTCACATGCCGAAACATCTTTCACAACTGAAATTCAGTTGTTGAGAATGTATCTACTGGGGCCTGGTAAACTTCTTAAAAATGTTCACAGAACCCACAAATGATCTTTACAAAGCAGAAGTGTGGACATCTGATAGAGCCTACAGCCTTGTTTGAACTTGATTTTCTCCCCTTGGACTGCCTGTGATTTTATCAAATGCTCTTCCTCCTCAGTGCTAACAATGCCCAGTCGTTCAACTCGTTTTGATGCCTAAAGCTCACGTATCTTATGCAAACATTCATCTACTACTCTAATTATGTGTTTATTGGGTTGCTCTGGTATGAACAAAGTCCCTTAAAAGTACGTGTTGGGAACTTAATCTCCAATGCAGCAGTGCTGGAGGCGGGGCCTAAGAATAGGTGAACAACCTGAGAGGGGTGAATGTTGTTTTCTCAGTAGCATGTTGCTATCACAAGCGTGGATTCCTTAAGGACCAATCCAGTCCCCTCTGATTCTCTCTCCCGCTACTAGCATGCTGCCATGTTATATCCTTACCACATGCATGTTGCTCAATTATGGACTTCCCAGCCTCCAGATCTGTACATTACTAAATTTGTTATAAATACTGACTTTGTGGTATTCTGCTGTTGCAGCACAAAATGGACTAGGACATAGGTCTACTGAAAGTAAATCAAATATACTTTGGATTTAGTCAAAGTGTTAGGGAGGGGAAAGGAGGAGGAAGAGTGTAGGTAAGCGATGGCAAGCTCTTTGTGACAGTAAAAAAGAAAAGGAAATAATTTCTTCTCTCCTCAAATCTCAAACAAATGTGAACACCCAGCCAAACTGACTCTGATTTTAGAGTTTAAAGATAATTATTTCTCACGGAATATGGTCCCCGAGTACCACCTGACTATCTATCTCATCTGGTGCTCAGTCAAGGAAATAAACTGCTTTCCAGGATCAAGAAGGAAAGTGGGCTTTATTGAAATTTTGGAAAGAAAGAATGAAATGTCCCATGTGTGACTTTCATGAATTTTTAAAAAAAGGATTTACTTATTTTAAATCAGAGCTGCAGAGGGGAAGGGGAGAGAAAGAGAAAACTTCCTGTTTGTTGGTCCACTCCTCAGACAGCTGCAATGATCACAACTAGGCCAGGCTGAAGGCAGGAGCTAGGAGCTTCACACCTATCCTTCACATGTGCCAGGGACCTAGGCACTTTGGCTATCTTCTGCTTCTCTTCCAAGGCCATCAGCATGGATCTATATCTGAAATACAGCACCGGGCATATGAACTGCTGCCCAGAGGGCACTGTAGGTAGAAACTTGATCCATTAAGTCATGACACTGGGTGCATGAATGGAGTTTAAGATTACTTTTGACTCTTCCCTTTATCATAAGTTCTGATTTTAGAACTGAAGCTTCCAGTGATATGATTCCAGGGTGTTAGGCTGCAGCATTGCAAAGGTGGCCAAAAGCTTTAGAATGAAACAATTTGGGTTCACAGAGTGGTTCTATCATGCATTGCTTGAAGGACACAGCAACTATTTCTTTTTCTCAAGCAAAATCTTCAATAAGTCAACTGCTTAAAAAACTTGAAATGTTTCTGTGGTTCTCCCAACTTACAGTGTTTAATATTGCAAATGTCAAGTTTATCTATCATAAGCACATACATAACTTTTTTTCTAAGAATGCAAATATTATCCTTATTTATACATTTTTAATGCATCAATTTAGGCTTGCACAGGTGACTTGTCATCATTATTGTTTCTTTGTGAGTGTCAGAGATACTGCATTTTGTTCATAATAGATTTAACATAAAAGTTGTAGTCAATGTATATATTCTAAAAATGTATTCAGACATATTAATATTTACCAAAAGAGAAAAAAGTGTTTTTAGGGTTACAAAATCCTTTTTAATATGGGTTAAATTTGCTGGGAAGAATAAACTTCAATTTCTTGTCAATAAAAATGAACCAGGTTTTCCCACACAGCCTTGTGCTTGGCTGCAGAGCACACTGTGCATGATGTACCCACCTGCCACTCTGTAGGTACCTACCTATTAGTCTTCGTTGAGGTGGCAGCTGGACAGCTGTCTGATCTGCAAACCTGCACAGAATCATGTGTTCCTGAAAGGAAAAGCAATAGCATGAAGGTTTATTTTAGTCTTCTACTCCCACACTGTAAAAATTACAATACAGAAACTATCTCAACTCAACACTGTTTTAAATAAAGTACTATAAATATAGTACTTGTCAAAGAAGCAAACTTTCAGAAAATATTCAATTATAAGCTTCTCTTCAGATGTACTTTTTTTTTCTTTTTTAAAGATTTATTTTATTTTTATTTGACAGCAGATTTACAGAAAGAAGGAGAGACACAGATACGCATTGTTCATCCACCGATTCACTCCCCAGATGCTGCAACTGGCCAAAGCAGAGCCAATCCAAAGCTAGAAATCAGAAGCCAGGAGCCTCTTCTGGGTCTCCCACAAGGGTACAAGGGCCCAAGGACTTGGACCACCCTCTCCTGCTTTCCCAGGCTATTCGCAGGGAGCTGGATGAGAAGAGGAACAGCCGGGACACAAAGCAGTGCCCACATGGGATGCTGGCATTTGGAGATTAGCCTGTTGAGCCATGGCACTGGCCCCAAATGTACTCTCATGAAGGGAAGCGTACCCTCAGGGCTACTTTGTGCAGCTGTTTTCAGCTAAAACATGAAAACATGGTTATAGGACTTTCCCTTTGCATTATTTGCTTGAAACACACTGGAGTCTTGTTTCTGTAGTCCTCTGAGACACCAGGCAGTGTGCTGGCGCAGCACTGTCCCCAACTCCTCCCTTCCTCAGTGCCTTTAGAGAGCTGAGATCGGACTCTCAAGCCCCAGTCACTCCAAAGGCTGCAGGAGGTATAGCCTTTCTGCTTTGAGAAAAAGTGTAAAGAGAACTGCAGGGAACAAGAGGGGTTTATTTCTTCTCCTTAATATTTTAGGAAACATTGCCTTTTTTTTTTTTAAAAGAGGCTCTCAGAGGACTGGGTTGATGAGCCTGTACAGTACTCTTAAATTTGCAGGGAACTAAGAGGAAAGCAATACTTCCAAGCAATTCTTCATTCAGAAAGTTGCAATGTGCATGTGACCTCACCTGTCAGCAAACAGGTTGAACTCAGGTTCATTATTTGTTCCCTGGATATTAAACTTGAAGGTTCCATTTTTCAATAAAGGTAAGTGAATTATTTAAAATAAGGGATTATCTTTGTCCCCAAAATTCTAATGTTCGATATAAAACCTCATAACAAAAGGTAAGAAATGGATAAATAGAGGCACTCACAACTTCTGATGACGTTCAGTTCTTTGGCACTGGTAAATCTGATCATATTTTATTGGAATGATTTGTGTTTATGTTCTCTTTAATCACAGTTAAGTTCTGAAAGGTCAAGTCATCTGTAGGTACTCAATAAAGGTATCAGCCCCCTAAAATGAGCTGATAATAAAATGACTTCAAAAATGACATAAGATTTTTGGGCACTCAATCCATTTATTTCTGCCTATGCCAGTCCATCTACATCAGGTATATCATTTATACCTGAGATGATTGAAAAACTGGTTGCAAGGCAGTTGGGAGATGATGGAGAGAAGGCAGATAAAGATTGCACTCTCTGGATGAGTCTATGTACTCTGCGCTGGCACATTTCCACTCTTAGAGCCAGGGAGATTATGGACACCTTATCTCCCCAACACCTTTATTTATTCCTATACATCCTCTGATCATTTGCTTTGCTTAACATCATTTAAGGAAGGAATAAAAACAGGGGTGAAGTTTTTGTTTCTGTTTCTTCAATTCATTTTCTACTTCCGGACCTTGTGAGAGAAAAGTGACATGTTTGAAATCTAACACAAAGAATCTCTAGAGTCCAATTATCTCTTCAGAAATCTGATTGCTCTGCAGGATGTGAAAACTTTTAATGCAGTAGGTAATGGCAAGTGGTGTTAAGGTTCTAGAGCAAGCAAACATGAGAAATCATGAATGCTGGCGTTTCCCTTGTCCATAAGTGTGTGTGCCCGCTTGTGCAGGATGGGCTGGGAAAGGGCCGGAAGAGGGGAGGGCGAGCATTTCAGAGCAATAAAGATCTAGTCGCTGAACTAATATATAAAAAATGTTTAGATCACTATGCTTTGCTATTTCATTGTTAGATGGAAAAGAAGGTAAAATTTTCTGACATTGTCTGTGCCAGTAAAGTTGGGGCACACTTAAATAACAGCCTGATGGAATTACAACTCCTTATGAAGGATTATACTACTGTACCAATATGGGGGCAAAAAATCAGTCAGGAGTGGGAATTTGGTGAGGGAAATCCCAGACTCTATGGAATTGCACCATAACATTCAAAATTCAAAATAGATATAATTAAAAAAAAAACGATATAGTGAGAAGGTAAAGAAGGTGAAATTAATGCAACTAAGAGTCCAAACTAATTTATTATCATTTTATAAAAAAGGTTTGTTTATTTAGTTGAAAAGCAGAGTGATGGGGAGAGGGCAGTGAAAAGAGGACAGCAAGAAAATGAAAGAGAGATCTTCCAGGTGCTGTTTTATTCTCCAATCTGCTGTGGCCATGTTAGGTCAGGCAAAAGCCAGTTGGCCTCCAGGGAGGTGACAGGGAACTAAGCATGTGGCCATTTTTCAGGTGCATTTGTAGGGCTGATAAGAAGCAGGAGTCAACCTGGTTCTCTGCAAATAGTGGCTTAATCCACTGTGCCACAATATTCGACTCAATTCATCAAATTTAATTGGATTATTTCTGCGCTTCTCTCACATACAACCATTTCTTAAGACTGTAAAATACCATATTATTGAACAATTAATTGATTCATTTTTATATTAAGAAAGAAGTAAGTTATTTGGCTCAGAATGGTGGCAAATAACTATATATAATATTCTTATTACTTTTGGGACACAATTTTCTATGAGTCTTGTGTTTCTTTGTGTCTTTTAAGCATAGGTTTGTTCCAGCAGGAGTTGGCAAATTATAGCCTATAGACTCAAACCAGCCTATGGTCTGCTTTTTGTATGGCTTGTGAGGTAAGAAAGGTTTCTAGAGTCATAAACAAGCAACAACAATGGCAAGGACATCAAAGAAGAGTAGGTGAGAGATTTTCATGTGGACCGCACAATCTGAAATAATTATTATTCAATCCTTTATAGAAAAGCTTGTTTCTGTTCTGCATTATCTGAGAATATATGGAGAACAACCTTGGGAAGTAGAGACCATCTTCCTCAGGAGCAATGGGAAGGTGTCACCTGCTTCATTTCCTGCAGCCCGGGAGTACTGGGACTGTCCGAGTTAGTATGGAAATGATGACAGTCTGTCTACTGCTGTAGCAGTGAGCAACAAACTGACTCGTGTCCTTGACTTAAAAGTCTCCTATCTTCTGCCATTCTCCACCATGGCAGGCTAACTTGTCAGCTTGTAAGTAAGGAAAATATCTCAGATTTACTCAAATTTTATCAAATACTTAAAGACTAAATCAGGATTTGCTTAAATGATAAATCTGGATTTGCAAAATAATAACATCATCCCCATTAGATGTTGGAGTAATTCAAATAAAACTATAGGTTATATTTTGCATTAGAGACTTGGGGGGGGGGTGCAAGCATGAGGCAATGCTTAAGACATTAGGTGGATGCCACATCCTATATTGGAGTGCCTGGTTTCCACCAGCAGTTCTGTAGCCAATTCCAGTTTCCTTCTAATGTGCACATACGCTACAAATGGTGCCACCCCCACAGGATACTTGAACTGAGCTTGCAACTCCCAGCTTTGGCCGCTCAATCCAAGCTACTGCAAGTACCTGGGGAGTAGGCCAGCAGATGGGATAACTGATTGTCTATTTCTGTCTTTCAAATAGATGCATAATTTTAAAAATGCGTGAAATTTGAGATGTAAAAAATTATAAACAAAAATGTGTATTATACAGATCTTAACAAACTTACCTTGTATGATAAAGTATTCTTGAATTGTTCACTGAAAAAGAGAAGAAAAAAGACATTAGTCATAATTCTAAATTGCAAATATTAAAATATTTTAAGAAACTAATTACTTATACTATCAGAGAAGCACAATCAATTTTTCTTTCTCACAAAAGAACAGATAGATCTAGATGTTTTATTATTTCTGTGTGCATTTTATTATTCAGGTGTAGTGTGGGCTGTTCATCAGGTGATGATAATCATTAGATACATTCCTGGTCACTCACAGCTCCTTAAGGGGAAGCATGCAATAGCAAATCATGTGGGGGAGTACCAGGGTAAACTGGAGACAAAGAAGAGTGGGATTTCATTGTGACATCTCTGGGAAGGAATTGGGAGGCAGGACAAGGAGGCTTAGTTTGCATTTTAGAAGATTCTAGAGCATATAACAGTCCCTACATGTCTAGTATTGGGGTCTGTTAGGGCAGGAGTATAGAATTCCAGAAGCAAAAGAGCCCAAGAAGGAGGTTGCTGATGGAACGGCTCTGCGTTGGTTGGTTTCCATGTAGAAGTCATGCTATACTGTAAGACTGTTATTGTTTCTAGAAGTTGGCCAGTTCAGGGAAGGGCAGCCTCTCCAGGACCAGCAAGGCCTCAGATGTCAAAGCATCAGAAAATGAAGAGATGTGATGAATACACCAGGAAAGCAGTGCTGTCACAGCCATTAAGGCAAATGTAGATTCTATGGACAATGTCTTTTATAAGTGTTCTCACTCTGTAGTCCATAAGAAGCAAATACCTAACCATTTGATGCTAAATCTATTAGTGCCAGTTTGTCTGTGATGAGTATCTGTCTTCACACAGTCTAGAAAGAGTGTCTATTAATAAAATTCCAATTCTATCTTTGGTGATTGAAGTAGGTTTTCAATACAAAGAGAGAAACAAACTTTCTAATTATTTTCAAGGGCAAGGGGAGAAAATGACAGTAAAGCTACAGGCTTCTAAAAAAAAGAGGCATCCAATTGAGATTTCATTTTATCTTATTTTCTTTTGTTTTCGTTTTTGGTTTCTTCAGTTGAGATTTTAAAAACAGAGAAGTTAGACTGAAGGTCAAACAGGTTAAAATAGCAGTCATAAAGTCTTGATACTGGTAGACTTACAAGTTTCTTGATGAATTTAAAACTACACATTTTATAAGTAAACCAGCAGACAGAAGATAGATCTTTCTCTCCTTCTCTCTGTAAATCTATCTTTCCAATAAAAATGAATAAATCTTTAAGAGAAAAATCTACCTTTCAAAATAAAATTCTAAATACTCCTGGAATTTGACTTGTCTGTTTTTGGAGAAATGTAATACATAAAATAATAATCACATGGACTTTTATAATAAAAAATTGTTAATGAAATGAAAAAACTACACATTTTATCAAACTAGATTTAAACGAATGTCAACTGCTGAGTATGTGTCAAATTGTATTTTATTTCCTACTTTCAATAGCTTCTTTGGTTTTTCTCCTAACTGCAAATTTAGAACAAGCCAATGAAAAAGAACAAGCCAATGAAAAAACAAAGAAAAAGGCTACTAGCTGTAGTTACTTATGTTACTAACCTAGAGGCCATTAATTATCAGTTGTGAATGAAAGGAATGATACAACTGGTCAGGAAGTCCTTTTTGACATAATATAGGAAAGATTTCCCCAAACTAACATATTTAGTCTATTCTGTAATTAGATTGATCATCATTATTCTCACTAACAATTAGCCAAAGTGCCTCCATCTTCTATGTGGGATAAGATTGATTATAAAAATGATTCTGAGCTTGTAGATTGATCATTAACACCCACAGACAATATATTAACGTATCATTGTTACTAGTACTGTTACTATCAATAGTCAAGTTTGTTGAGTTCTTGTTCATGGAACTTCTAAGAGCTTTAACCAGGACACTAGATTCTCAATCCTTGAGGTAGTTACTATTACGGCTGTCACTATATACATGTGAAGACACAGGTAAAAAGTTTAAGATGACCAAAATGAAATGACATAAAATGATAAAGCACCAATATTTACATCTATGCAATATACGACATCCAGGCCCTAGATATGTAACTACTACAATGTACAGATAGTCTGGTTAACTGACTCCTAGATTGGTTTGTTTCTTCATTTAAGCAAGAGCTGGATTCAAGACACAAATCAGAGACTGATACAGATGAGTTTTTCTTCCTTATACATCTTAAAAACAACCCTTGCCATCTAGAAAGAGGTAGCGGTCAAGACAATCATCACACAACATTATATCAAATAATGTGCTCAGTTAACCCCATCGTGGTGTCTCAGGAATTTTACCTTTTTGGAAAATTAAACTTTGAGGTGTTCTGAATGAAACCATAACAGCAAGGGCATGTGACAAAGGAAGCCCGTGTTTTGACACAATGGTCAATCACCATGTCTGTTGCCACTCCACAAGCATGCAGTGCCACCTGGAAAATAGAATGAGACCTTACCACTAAGTTCTTTCTTAGCTAACAGTGTAACTTTCCTTTTTAGGTTTAATTTTCTGTGAATAATCCTCAAGAGATTCTAGGTTACAAGAGTATCACCCTGTATTAGTTAAAATGGTTCTCCTTTAATCTACCAGATAAATACTGAGCTGTTCAGAATAGAGAAAATCTGGAGGTGTTAGCATTAGGATATCAACTGCCTGCAATGATGGCCTCCCCCATGGGCACCTTCATGTACTGGCTGTCCCACTTCCAATCCAGCCTTCTGTTAATGACATGGGGAAAGCAGCAGGCCAAGTACCCGTCTCTGACACCCACTAGGAACAAGCTCCAGTCCCCTGGCTTTTGCCTGGCCCAGCCCCTAGCTCTTGTAAATATCTGGGGAGTTAACCAGTGGATGTAACTTTCCAATAAGTAAAATAGATCTTTTAAAATTGTTTAAATAAAAAAAGAAAATTAAGCCAATAGGCACAGAATTCACTCAGTGTGAAATCTGATGCAATCTTAAATGTGAAAACTTATATTTACGACCATCTAAACCAATGTTCTTGCTGATTATGAATTTTGCTTAGTTAGAGAACTATAACAAGAAGAGCATATTTGAAATGAGAATTTCTGGTCTAGAACTCTAGTTGGTTGTGTGATCCTGGGTCAATTAAAATTTGACTTTGTTGGGCTATTTAATTGTAAACTACACAGCACAGACCTATCAGGATGCTGTCATGGAAATTAAGATGTATTTGAAAACACTTTGAGAAACTACATGAACATATGCCAACCAGCAAAACTTTATCAAATCATTTATATTGTACCTTTCAAAGTATTTTCACATAATAAAAAACCAACACTGAATGAATAATTACATGAAGTACTTTCACTGGGGTTATTTAAAAGGAAAGGAATGAAATTGTGAATTATTACCAGAAAAATGCTCAGCTCTCCATCTTGTTATGGACACAGACAAATTGTGTGGTATCTTAATTTTCCCTTCTAAGGACAGATCTCATCAACTTTATGGTAGGGAGGAGTTCTTAGGGTAAATAAAGAGATTTTCTGGACATTTCTTGATGTTCAGTGTAAGGAGGCAGATTCCTCTTTTGAACTAAAGCTAAAAACAGAACTATATTAGGAAGAGGAAAGCAAGATCTCTGTTCTTAACCTTTCTCTTAAATTTTCTCCTTCATCTAGAATTACAGGGCCTGCACAAAAGTCAACAATCTCAATACTCGTTGCTGATCCACCTTTCCAGTTTCTTTCTGGAAAGAGAACCTAGGAAGACCGCCATCCATAGAAGGAGCAGTAGTACAAGGTGATGAGAGAGTAAACAACCTTATTCTCATTGCCTCTCTTAGTCAGGCAACGTGGTAGAGTAAACATCAAGCTAGCCCTTATTTTCCTGAATAGTTAAATAGAATCTCAAAGTAAAAATTACAGATGCATTTTTCCCTGAAGAGGATATCTGTTCTGTGCAGGAAGTAGGCTAGATGGTAACATGGAGGTCTTGGTGAAACTGCAACAATCCTAGAAAACCTTACAGTATCTATATTAGAAATGAAGAATCTAAGACTGGGGGGAAATTCAGAACTTGGCCATTCAAAACAAAAGAGACAAACAAACATACACACACACACAAAAAAACAGCTATTGAGGAGGTAGACTCCTAAGCCCAAAGCTTAACCCCATACATTAATTAGTCTTCTTTATAAAAGCTTCTTGAGTTTCTGAACAAAAAAAAGTTTTTGAAAATTTGAATTTTGCTTTTTTTAAAATAATAGGTACTGGGCACAGTGTGGTAGCCTAGTGGCTAAAGTCCTCGCCTTTTAAGTGCCAGGATCCCATATAGACACTGGTTCTAATCCTGGTTTCCCTGCTTCCCATCCAGTTTCCTGCTTGTGGCCAGGGAAGGCAGTCAAGGATGGCCCAAATCCTTGGGACCCTGCACTCGTGTGGAAGACATGGAAGAGGCTCCTGGCTTCAGATTGGCTCAGCTGTAGCTATTGTGGCTGCTTGGGGAGTGAATCATTGGACAGAAAATCTTCCCCTCTGTCTCTCCTTCTCTCTGTATATCTGACTTTGCAATAAAAATAAATAAATCTTTAAAAATGTAACATTTTCCTAAAATGAAGACATTTTACATATGTACAATACAGATTATTAACATAGTGGTACTTGCCATTCCCCTCCCACTCTTCCATGTTCTGCACCCACCCTGCTCCTTCCTTACCTCTGTTTTTTAAAATGTTTACAACAGCATACTGTTCTATTTCAGGCTTAGCACTCCACTAGGTGACAATTTCAACAAATAACAAGTAGAAACAAACAAACCAAAAAAATCCCTACTATTCCTCAAAATGACAATTTTGCTCATATACATTACATTTTTTTGTAGTCTATATTAGTTAGCACAGATCAGAGAAAGAATGTATTTGTCTTTGGGGGGCTGGTTTATTTCACAAAGCATAGCAGTTTCCAGTTATATCCACTTTATAGCAAAGACAAGCTTTCATTCATTTTTATGGTTGAGTTGTAACACATAATGTATACAGACTGTCATTAGCTGATGGACATCTAAATGGATTCCCCATTGTAGCCATTGTGAATTAGGCTGCAATAAACAAGGATGTACACAGAACTCTCTCATAGGCTGCTTTCATTTCCTTTGGAGTAAACTGCCAGAAGTGGGATGCCGGGTCACAGGGCAGATCTATTTTCAGGTTTCTGAGTAGTCTCCACTGTCCTCCACGATGTACCTTGTTCCTCGGACATCCCCTCCCTACTTAGAATCATATTCCTTTTGACACAATGTAAAAGAGTTAAGTCTGTTTCCTTCATTTGAAGAAAATAACTACAGAAATATTGACAACAGAATTTACCTCTTAGGTTTTTTCCACTATCATTAAAACCAAGTCAGAAATAACAGCAAATAATGCAATTGCAACCACCAGCTGATTGGGGTGATGGAATGTGTCGGGCCCTTTACTTGCTAGTGCATACAAGAATCTGGTCTAGGAATACCTCAGACAAAGTTTCTTTGGGGATCTCCCCAATCGAACTGCTGGACTTGGAACCATAACCATGAAAAGATAAAGGACAGAACAAGTCAATCAACCACCTCAGCCATATATTGGCAGTGAAAAACTGGGCAAACGGAAACTCTAAGATGGACTACGTCAATCAGTGGCTTTTTCAACGACCTCATAGTGCTTGGAATGGCAAGACTGGCAGCAATTCTTAACTGTTGAACTATCAAAACCACCTGAGCAAGACCCTCGGAGCATGTCTCTCATTAGGTACCTGGGGTGGGTGGGAGACTGTGTGGGACTTGTCCCTTGATCCCACTTTACTGAGATACATGAAGGAAACAATATGGAAATAATAGTCTTACCCATTTTCCTGTAGCCCTTGAACCTTTTTTACCATAATTAACTATGTAAAGATTGTCAAAAATATAATTAAAAAATGGGAAAAAATAACAGCAAACAATGAAGAAAGATATACATCAATGAACCTATTCAAACATAGAAATTTAGCATCTAGTAAAAGTGACATTTCAAAACAGGAAAAGAAGAAATATTAATTTTTAATGAGTGATACTGGGCTAAATTGACAGCCGTATGAAAAAACAAGAGTTATCTTTTCCTCTCACCACATACAAGAAATAAATTTTTAATGCATTAGATTCAAAATGTATAAGAATAACGCTTGGAAAAATTGAGCAGAGGCATTGCAAAAGTTGTCTAAAGTTACACAAGAATTAAAGGGCTCCAATTTGGAGGCTTTAGGCCCTTGACTCTAGATAACTAGTATTTACAAATATAGGTAATTACATTTCTATTCATCTTACTGGTGTTAACCACCTTTTTGTCATTGTTATTAACTACCTTTGAAAATGATAACATGAGGTACTAACAAGTATTCAGTATATGCTAGATGTCAAAATCTTCACTTTCTTATTGACTTAACTCTAATTCATTTTCCTAATTTAAATTTTAAAAATATATTTATTTTTAACTTCATTTGAAAGGCATAGAGAGAGGGAGAAAGAAAAAGAAAGGTATCTTCCAACTACTGATTCCTTTCCCAAATGCTCATAACAGCCAGAATGGGACCAGACTGAGACCATGCATGCACAACTGAATCCAGGTTTTCCAGCTGAGTGGCAGGGACTAACCAAGTGTTTCAGCCATCATCTGTCTACCAGAGTATGCATTAACCAGGAAGCTGGGTAGGAAGCAGAGGAGCTGGGGCTCAAACTCAGGCACTGTGATAGCACACGCAGGTGTTCTGAAGAGCGAGTGATACACCTGTTGTGCCAAAATGCTCAGCCCATTTTTTCCTAATCTAATGGTTAAGTGGCATTTACTATTGTTATTTACAATGGGTTCTGAGGCTGCCTCACCAGTAAGCACTCCAGATGAATCCTAAATCTGATTCCAGAGTTCACATGTTTGCATTGTATCAGATCATGCTTCACCTGCCTTATCACCTTGGGAACTACAAAGAAATCGCAGATGCTATCTTTTTTTAAAATAAAGAATTTCTGGGTATTACTCTTCGGCTCATCACTGCCTTTCGGAGAAGAAACAGTGAATTCTGTGCCAGTTACACAAAAATGAAAGAGGCAAAGGAAGAAAGAGACAAAGATAAACACATCTAATTACTTTGCTAATTCATTCCTGTTCACAGTAAATTGTTAATACACACATGATATATAGATTTATAAAAATAAGTCACTCTGTAGAAAGCACATCAAAACAAACTAGGTTTCTAATGGTGGATAAATGTGCTGGGAGAAGCACATTTAATCCACGGCTTAGCTAACTTTACAGCAAACAAGTATTTGACTAACTCAAAGAAATCAGAATTCTGGTCATCAAATAATGAGTTTTTTATTATTAACCTCTTTCTCCACAATATACTGAATTCCTGTAGAAGATGAATATTGAAGTTGTAAATTCTTCTGTTGGCCAATGTAATGA